ATACCCTGTTATTTTGGCATGTTTCGACCGGTAGACATGTCAATGTTGGAGGAATTTCTGTCGGACAAATTTAAATCGGCATTTGCAACAAAATTTCCAGTTACTTAAGCTAAAAATAAAAGATGTGGTCTTGACTTTTCAAGACCCCGGGAAATTGCCATGTTTTTGGACTTTTCCGAGTGGAAAAGCGGAGGAATCGAGAAAAGTCGCAGAGGAAAAATGTGGTAGACTCATTAAAAGGATGCCCCTCCGGAGTTATAAAGTATGTGGTAATCAACTTTCCAGAGGGGGCCTGTACTGTGGACTATTATTAAAATGAAAATTTTGAAAAACGGTTTTAAGGTAGGTCCGATTAAAATATATTAACTCAAAAATTCTATGATCAATAGATCTTTTCATTAGTTGTAACTTCCCCAAAAAGCGTTCTATTTTTCGGAAATGATTATCCTTAATCGATGGACATTTAGAAAATAGTCAAGGCATTCTTTAACCAGTGGTCCTGTCAGCGCATGCGGACTTGCCTACCTTTCGAGACATACATATTAATACATCCAGGATAATCTTTGTCTGCATACGAAATCTTAGATACGGACCTGTCTGGTTCTGTCCCTAACGACCGCATTAAACCCTCTCGGGCCCTAATTAAAAATTCCTTTGTGAACTCACCTTGTTGTAGCTCCCGCTGTCGTCGTCGTACCCACCATTCTGCGACGACCCCTGCTCCCCGTGGATCTTGCAGGCAGACAGGCCGAGGTACCAGATTTTCGAATAGTTCTCTATTTCAGTCTTTTCGTACTCCGACAGCCGGTTGCCGTACAGACGAAGAGCCTCTGCAAAAAAATAATTACGAATGAACACGATGCGGGCTCCACCTGTCGCTAAATTGGAAAATAATGACTGAAATTGATTTTGAATGCATTATAAATTATCAGGCTTTATAATCTTTATTGCATTATCTTCCCTTGAATATTTACAAACAGACTTGCAACAAAATCGTGCCTAACGATATCTACAGGGTGCTCTGAAAAAATAAATTCCTCAGGACCAATTTAATTATTAATTAAGCCTACCCAATAAAAAAGTAACAATAAAATGAGGTAACTATAAAAATTAGATAAGATTCAAAATATTTTACAAAAAAAAACGTTTTTTAGTCATAAAATCATCTTGCTATACAGGGTGTTATAAGTTTGACTGCCCTAATTTTAACGGACGATAGACTAGTAAACAAAAAAACCTTATATGACATGGGTGCTAAACTAAACCATTTCCGAGAAAAAAATTATTACCAGAATCTCCAACTTGATGTGCAAAAGTTCGATTAATAAGGAATATTGACATACCGGTGTGCATAGAATACCATAAAATATAATATTTATCACTTTTTTGAACTTCTTTATGCTTAATTCTAAAAAATAATTAGCGTTGTAATAAAAAAATTCGATAAAATTCATATCGAGCAATGTGACAACGGCGCGGCGGTTTATTGACTCGAGGTACTAAGGTGTGCAGTAACCACCAATACGCAATTCAGTTAGTATCTGGATTCGACCGTGTCGGAGTGTTTTTTACGTACCACTATTTCCTTTTCTTGAGGTGTTTTCCAGCAAGTGCGCAAAAATTGGATTCGATGGTGTCGCGCGAGCATCGAAAATGGTGGTGGACATTTTGAGCATATGTTGTAAATTGATTTGTACTTCTGCGTTTAAAAATTCCTGAATTTTGCTTTTTGGTAAGTACCTAAAATATTTTTATACGTATAATTACGACGTGAATCTTTGAGTACTTTAATTATATATTTTTGAAATACGTAATTTGATTAAAAGTGAAGTTCCTGTTTTAAGAGATTGATAATTATTAAAATTGAGCTAAAATTTAAGCACAACACCATCTTCGACAATTGTCTTGAAATTTACTAAATGTTTCACAATAACAGTTGATTACATTTTTTCCGTAGGACAAGTCTGCCGCGTGTACACATGGTGAGCATAAGCAGGTTAAGCACTGTTGTCACGTTGTGATGAAACTCCCCAATATTAATACTCGCTGTATTTTGAAATTTGTTAATCTTACGCCCCCGTAATATACAACTGTTTTGTTCATTTATGATTACTCTATCTCTATCTAAAGACAATAAATAGATAATTTCAAATAACTAGGTAATAAATGCATTATTATAATTTTATGATATTTGGAATGAAGTTGAGAGGATACTATAACTTAACATTTTGGTTACTTTACAGTTCATTGTCTTCTTAATGAAATGATGCTTATTTGCTCTTTATTGTACTTGCAGTTGCTAATAATAGTATCCCAATGGACGGAAATCTTATTAGGTATTATTTTTGTGTAAATATACCCCCTCAAAAAAAAATTATGTTCTACAAAAAACGCTATTGTATGTAGGTGGCCGACTTTCATTCGCGTCCAATTCTTCAAAGTTTGCAAAATATCAAATCATAGAAATGCAGCTAATACTGATTCATGGTGAATGTCCGTAACATGTAATAAAACATAAACGTAACATAAAATAACTTCAAAATATCTTCATTAAAATAATTATTCTGCATTTTTGCATTTTGTCGAGGAAGTACTTGATACTCTTGTAGAATACTGAATGACAATACTAATATTTGCCTTTCAAGGCACATTTGATGATATTTTAACGTAATATTCTTGAAAATGTAAGTTATCCGCAAATATCTGAGAAAATTGAAACTAACCTCTACAATGCCTATATTGGTGAAAAGAGAATTTTATTTTCTATAATATGATGCAGAAAAATACAGGGTGTTCCGTTTGAATTTAAAAAATTATGTCGGTTTTAAGTTTTGAAAATGTAACGTGAAAAATGAGACACTTAGTATAATTTTCTTCAGGTAATTTTGATAACGGAAGCCAGTGTATCTTATGTTCTTTGTGTATTCCGAAAAGCAAGTGAAAGCTCCCAGAACGAAGAGAGATATAAGGAATTTTCGAAACGTTTACATCTGTCAAAATTTTTATAAAATGTCGATTATCTCGAAAACGGTTAGATTTAGGTACAGGCAAGCTTTAACATTTTTGATTTATTTTTAATTTATCTTGTCGATAATGCAATAATATATAGGGTGTTCCATTTAAAATAACGAAGATGACAGCTACTTCCGGTATAACCAATGATGACGTTATTTTCATTGAAGAGAGCATATCTGATAACCCCCGTAAATAAAATTTCAGAGTCGTATTGTCTTTGGTTCACCTGAAACGTCTAATAGGCCACTTACCGTGAAGAACCCTGTATATCTTATTATAATATACGACACATTCTGTAGAGAATCTAACTTTAAAGAGATGTGTCATAAAAAAGATACATGCAAATGACCAAAAACTAACAGCATTAGAGTATTCAACTAACTCAAGCACTTATCTGTGCCAAATTTCAATGCATTCCATGATTTTTTAGCTAAAACTTGCTTTAAAGAAAATCATCTTTGACGTCCTGTATCTCAGATCCACAAAACGCAAAAGAAATGATCCACAGAAAATTAATCGTAATGTTTTATCACCTTCTGAATCCATAGTATCCTTTCCCACTCTGTATATTAATATTCACAATGAATTTTATGAAATCGATTTCAAAAGGAGAACTAGATGTATCCTTCCTTGTTCCATTGATTGACTTATTTTTACCTTATTTTAAAACTGCGAAATAAAAATAAGTAAATCGGGAAAGAAACAGTTTCAGGCAATAATTGTGATGTTCCCGACAAAAGAATTCTGTAAACAAGATGTCACCTAATACATCTTTTTCATGCTACGGCAAAGAAGCCGGAAGCGCTTTTGTTAAGCTCATAGATAAGGCTCTTCATTGGTTATTTTTATCGGAGCTTTATATTACATAAAGAGGTTTTTGTCTCCAATTTTTTCGGATTTAGCAAAGCCAGCAAAGACAAGATTGTCTGCTTTGATTCTGTCGGATGGAGGAGAAAGGTTTACTTTATCTTTTTAGGTTTTTTGTAAATTAAGGACTTCACCGACAACTTCTGCCACGAGTAAAATTTTCCTCTTGGTTTGTGGTATTAAAAGTGCGCCAGAAGATGTTTTTAACCAATTTATATTTGTTTACGCCAACTTCGTGAAATGGTTAATAACAATTTATTACCTATTCTGAACTAAGCAATTCAGTATTCGAATTTGAAAAGCGAAGATTCGGTAAACTTTTTAGTCTATCCAGGTATGGAAGTCGAGTGGGTCAAAACACTAGCTGCTAACCCACGGTCTTTCTGGAAGAAAGGTTATAAAAAACGGGCCATTATTTCAAGAAAATGTTGTAAAACAGAAACAAAAAAACGTCTATTAGATGTAGAGGAACTCTTTGGCTGACAGAATTGATAAGGCTGATCATGTGGACCTCATTTATAAAATATAGCTAATACGGATTAGTAAGCAGATCTCGAAAAAATGCTGACACCTCGATGTGGACGTGGGAACTCCAGTTCTTTGGCCGATTACCATACATGTGAACTGTGACGTGAACCTCAAGGTCGTTTCTATAGGACATTGTGGAGTGGCTACTGAATTTTTATGTTTAATGTTACGAACTGTTATGCAAGAATTATTGTAAGAAAAGGAAAAGTACGGTGCCAGAGTGAAATATAACTTTGTCATTCATTTGGTCATTCGTGAACAGAGCCAAAGAAGAACGATACATTTTCTTCCCTACGTTATTCTGTGTGAAAAAGACAACCTAATTTAATAACAATCAGAGTAATTAAGAATTGTATCAACAAACTCCGGTAGCTTGTAATTTTAAAACGGAATTAGGTATAAATCAAGCATATGATCCAATATCCAATAACAATGCACCATAAAAATTTGAACAACCAACAAGCTCCTTAAGGATTATCGCCAGATAAGTAAATCAAGTCTTTAAATTAATAAATACGCCATTATATCCCCCACAGTGTATGATAATAAGGGGATATTAAAAAGCACCATTAAACAAAAGTAAATATAAACAAACTGTAGCCAAACCAACTGCTAGCTTTTAAACAAAATGTCAAGGTTGCCCATATGTTTCCGTACAATTTCATAACCGTAAGAAGCGTTGAAAATTAGTTAATGCCTACATTAATACCGCATTAAGTTGAAAGGACGATTTTTTTAGTTATATTGTAGCGTGAGACGTTATGTGCGTGTAGGCTTAAAAACTTGGAAGGTCAAACAAATTTTCATTTTTTCAGAAGCTAACAAGGTCGCCTAGAAGAAAAAATTGAAGCGTGAAATGAAAAATAATGGGTTAAAAGTAAAGCAGAACATGAATATATCAAATTATTATTATTATCAAGATGTGGAGAAGACTGTAATGTAATCATAACATAGACAGGACCGTCCTAAGGAGTTGGACGAAAATTTGGACACATATTTTTGAAGAATTGCTATTATTTGATTCAGATGAATATTGGCTCAGAATATTGGCAATTATGTTATGATGGACAAAGTAAAAAAAATTAAAAATTAATGCAGGAAGATACCGTTATATTTAATTCAAGTACCTAGATGCTGTCCTGGCTTCAAGAATCGGCAGGGGAACTAAACTTGATCAGTTTCCCAACTAACTCCTAAGTGGAACATGGAACTCTAACGGCCCCAAGAATTTGGAATGAAATTAGATAGGAAATGTTTGTACACCACAAACATCTCTTGGATTCAGATAAACAGAAGAAAATTTTAAATGACGTACTTCCTTTTTCTTTATCACAAAGAATCCAATAACTATGTCTTATCTCTCAAGAGACGATGTTCGAGTAAATAATTAAGAGATTATTTTGTTTAACTTTCTCATTGA